AAAGTGCGTGAATTGAGATGAATGTGATCACCTGTTGAATAAAAAAAAGTTGGTTGGTTTTTCGAATTTCATGAGAGAAAATTAATATCAGATGAGAAGTTCTTTGATACATATAAAAATATACTAGTCTGTATATATTCGTAGACACAGGCGAGTTTATGTTTTATATAAATAACTGACTGTGATATATGTATCTATATGTATGAACTTACTATGCACTAATTGTCAGCCAGTCACATCCTCGTTTTATAAACTTGCTTGACAAGGTAATTAATTAGATTACAAAAAAATGTATCTTAGTAAATTTAATGATATCTTTTATGACACCGATGAAATGGATGTTCTCAGACCTACATATGTATATGTACACTTGTGGTCAGCTGTTTAAGTCAAGTGACGTTTTGACTAGATTTGGCCACTTTTCTTTTGTCTATTTAATGTTTACATCTTTTTTATAAAAGTTTAACATTTTACCTAACCAGCGCCACAAAAATCCATATTTCAAACTTACAAAATCTATGAAAATTCAACAAACTTTAACAATTGCACACAAAAATTTATTTTTAGAATTTCTAGAAAAATTATGTGTATGCAGTACTGTAGCTCATTAAATTTTAGTAGGTTGAAGCGCAAATGGTGCCAGGCATTTTCACCCATACAAACGAAATTATCGAGCATACATTATATGGAAGAAAATGCACAACACCGTCAGCCAAAAAAATGATTAAAAACTCGTACTGCATACCTAAAATCTGTCTAAAAATTCTGAATAAAAAGTTTAAAATTTTTGGTTGCAATAGTTAAAGTTTCTTGAATTTTCGTAATTTGTAAACGAAGTTTGAAATGTGGATTAATGTGGCGCTGGTTAGGTAAAGTACTAGAACTTTAAAAAAATATAAACATTAAATAAACAAAAGTAAAATAGCCAAAACTAGGCAATATATCGCTTGACTTAATCAGTTGACCATAATTGTATACATATGTATGTATACATGTAGATAAGGTACATTCACACTAATGACTGTATTAGTAAATGCCAACAACATAAAAACACTTATAATTGCAATGGGTAACTCCACTGTGACGGGTGAGACCATGGTACTCACAGTTTTGGTTATAATTAAAAACTATAAAATTTATAATTAAAAAAAGGGTGCGATTCTTAAGGTTGTAAAGTTTAAAAGCGTTTAATAATAGGTAGATACCGAAATCAAAATCTGATAAATCACGTTTTTTGATTAATCAGGCTTATGATTAATTAAAAAAAAAATGTTTAATCGATTAATCGCACATTCCCACTAAAGACTGATCCTAAACGAAATCAATCGTTATACTGCTTTTTAATCCAATTTGACAATGCGTTTTCACTTATTTGACGACAGATGACATTGAATTTGACATAGTGAAAACACGCCTTAACGCTCAGTCCACTTACTGTAATTTTTTGTAATCACTAATCAAATTAAACTTTTACAATTTGCTTTTCTATCGACTGCCAAGGGGTAATGTTTATGTACATATGTACATATGTGCATAAGTACATACATATATGTATGTATAACAGGAAGAAAGGAAATGTGTTTTGTAAAAGTTTGTGCAACTCTGTGGAAAGGAGTTCAACTTGTATAGAAACTTTTTAATGCATCGCATCCGCATGCTTCAGTAATGCAAGCTCATTTAGAAAACTTTGTATGCACTAGAGGTGACAATCTCGAAGCACCGTGAGCAGGAAATCTATCTAATCTAATATTTACGCAAAATTTGTGCATTTAAATTTTTATTTCTGGGCAAGCATAAAATCAAAGTGACTTGGAATTCAGATAAGAGGAGTCGAACCTCCGATCTCGCGGCTAGTTTACTCCGCAATACTGCCGTCTATCAGGGTACAATTTTGATCAGATCAACTACGCCGTTAATCCACATTAACGCTGCCGCCTACCTATGCTATAAAATTTTATCAATCTGTTGGTTAACCTTAAGTTTAAAATTAAATTGGCGTATGGTCCTGAATTGTTTTGGCTAATACTAAATGCAGGTATTTTAACATTTCTATATCAAGAGCAATCCCGGACATTTGGTAAATTTCGGGACTACTAGCATTTGTTGCTTTGCTTTGTTACAAGCACACACAAATACCATCAATTTGCGTTCAGATGTAAATAGATAACTAAATATCCCGTACTTATATGTGTATTAACTCTACTTCTTTTCTGTTTAACTAAACAACTAATCTACTATACTTACTATCCAATATTGTATGTGTTAGCAGGAAAATTACACGTCGCGACACTATTTTAATTTCATCCTTTATTGCAAATATTTTCTCATCACGGCACTCGGTTAAGTAGTTTTGCAAAGCGACCACCTCTGGTGTCTCCTCCGGTCGTTCGCCAGCTTTCATGGACATTTCCTCTAGTGCATCGCAAATGCTATAACAAATAAAACAAAGTCGTGATTTTTATTTTGTTTCGAAGTCTGCAGTTATAAGTTAGTTTAGTTTAACTCATTAGAAGACGAAAACATTTATTGCACTTGTTGCGAATATATTTCACTTACGCGCGATTTTCATTTATATTCACAGCTTTGTAGTAGTCAATGACGAAATCGTAAACTTGTTGTACCAGCATTACAATGGTGTTCTTCACATGCCGATTGTCCAACATGAAGAGATTGAGCGGTATAAAATCACGTAAGATATATGTGCTATGAATAATACCCCTCAGGCGTCTCATTAGGTCTTCGACAAGCTACAAAAGAGAAACATGGGAATTTAGTAATTGTGTCGGACTTTCTGCTTTAAAGGCGCTTTCTCCAATTCTTTCTTTATTTGACATCCTATTCTTTGTAAATACACCTCCTGACCTGCTTAATAAAGCTTTAAAAGGGAAGGTCCTGCCTAAAAGTGTTGTTTGCCGACTAGTTTTATGACCGAAATAACAAAAATTCTATAAGGATAAGTAGAAAGTTCACCGATTTTTTTTTACATTTCCCTAAAATCGATTTTCTTTCTCAGAATATTAAAAAGATGCAAATTATTTTAAGAAAAAGTAAGAGTAACAAAAGCTAGAAGAAGGCCGCGAAGTTAGGCCTGAAATTCCGAGGGAATAAACATATAATTGCTAAATCCAGCTTCAAAAAGGCTATCCTGCTCCCACTGGTAAGGACGGTTCGGACGGAGTCGCGGTTGAAATATCGAAGGCATCCGACACGTGAAACTATGTGAGCCCCTGCTAACTAGACTTATCGCGTGCAGATCGGATGAAATATCCGCCGTTAGTTACATTCCGCAAAGCTAAGTACAAACATCGTAGAATTAATTAGGAGTCTTCTAAGGCGACGATATCTTCCTAACATTTCCCAAGATCCAATCGGAATGAACTTAGTGAGTAGTGCAAACTATTGTAAAATCATGTCGATGGGCCCAAACATCGACAGCCTTTCTAGTAAAATAATTTTTCTCAGCGCATACCTCCGCCTCTATCACCTCCAATCCGACGACCTGACATTCGAGTACTGTGGACTGCGACAATGGACGTCGCGGCGCGTCATAAGTTTCATATTTTATGCTGAAAAGGCTGTGAAAAGTGAGCTGCACCGATTGGAAAATACCTCCAAAAATGGAGTTTTTATGAATAAAAATATTTTCTTAAAGGATTTTTTGGGAAAAAAATCGCATCAGATAACAAAACAGTTTAAGCTTTAAAAAATTTTTTAAATTTTTTAAAAATCTGCATAAAAAATTTTTTGATTTTGAACTTTTTTCAAAGATTTGTTTAAGACTGGGCCAAAACTATACCGATAGAAACTTGTGAGGTATTTTCTCACCCTTTTTATTTCTTTGCAAAAAAACTAATTTTCCCCCCACTTTTTTCTCCATCAAATACCAACACATCTTAATTCAAAATGAAATGAAGCACGTTTGTCTAACCTTTCTCATTCATGCTTTGATTGAGCTTATGTGCAAAAAAAAAATAATGATATGAAAAGGGTGAGAAAATTCATTTCCAATGATACCTCATAAGTATAAATCGGTAAAGCTTAAGCTGAGTTATTCATGTTTTTTTTAACCAGTCTATGAAAAAGTTCAAAAAAAAAATCATCAAAAATCTCATTATTGCGATTATGTTAATTTTTTTTAATATTTGTATGCAAATTTTTTGAGCTTAAACTGTTTTGTCATCTAAGGTAATTTTTTGCAAAAAAATACTTAAAAACTGTTTTTTATTTACAAAAAACTAAATTTTTTGAGGTACTTTCAAATCCCAGTTGAAAACAGTACCGTTTATTTGTAAGGGGAGTGATGCAGTCTAATGTACATATTTACATATTTGTGAAATTAAAAAAAAAGTATTTACAAATTTCAATCAATTTGTCATGCTGCAGTGAGTAAATTTGTGTACAGTAAATTTTTGCTGTAAATTGGAAAATTAACCATTAATAATTTTCAACTCGGTGCCCTATGATTTCGCAGCCTTAGTAAACATTATTTACTCATTCGTCTCTTTGACGGCACTTCCATAGTCCTATTACAAAATACGTATGTATGTATGCGTATTCAAATCAGGTACATATATATGTTTTGTATACCCTTAACGAAAGCATTTAAATTTTAGGCTGCGTCAATGGTAGCTTAAAGTGAAAAGTTGCACTTAGGAATGCCTTTTTTGAACATTTTTATTTTTAAATATGTGATATGTAAGGATATGCGACTGCGATGCATTACTTCTCTTCGTATATTCGAATTCGGGTTATACCCGAAACTAGACGAAGTATAAAATTTCCAATATTTTTTTATTCCATGGAAAAGTTAGAGTGGTAAATTTATACCGCTACACACAAACTATGGGAGTAAAATCAATACACAGACGAAAGGTTGAGTGTCTTCTTTATGAACATACTATGTATATATTTAGTCCTGCGCCTAGGCGCAAAAGTTACGTCCTTACTACTTAGCTTATATTTACTCTTGTTGATTTCAACATGTCAATGACTAAAGCCACTCTTGCTGATGAGTCTACAACACGCCTGGTAGCGCGTCATAATAAAATTTAATATTAATTCTACGCATCAATGCATTTAATCAAATAAAAATATAATAATTAATTTAGTTTTCCTGCAGCGAAATTTACTCGAGTTCCCAACACACAAAATCCAACGCCGCTTGTGTACGTACAGAGACTGTTGTTAGTGCAATTGTCTGCTTCACACCATAATAAATAATACGTGTCCATAAAATATGTCAGAGATGAGCAAATGTTGTCAGATGATTTTGTGATTTTTATTTTTTATTTTTTTGTCAATTATTCTGATATGAATTCGTAATGAGCTCAGCATAGTCCCGGTTCATATGTTTAACAGCAAATTCTATAAGTGCTATCATTATCGTTCTCTTTTTGAAAATCTCATTATGCATGAATTTATACAAACAAAAAATGTGCAGCATCAGTTTGCAAAAAAAAAAAAA